ACCCTGGGATCATGGCTTGAGCCGAAGGCAGACACTTAATGACTGAGCCACCCAGGCGCCCCATAGAATACAGCTGACTCTTGAAGAACATGGGGGTTATGGGTGCCGACCTCCCAGTCGAAAATCCACGTATAACTCTTGACTACCCCCAAATTTGCCGACTAGGCTACTGTGGACCAGAAGCCTTACCGATAACATAAATAGTCGATTAACACATATTTTGTATGTTATATGTATTCTTACAATAAAGTAGCCAGAGAAAAAATGTTAAGAAAGTCTTAAGAGGGGCGCCTGGATGGCTCAGTCAGTACAGCGTGCGACTCTTGATCTCGGGGTCGTGAGCTCGAGCCCCACATTGGGTGGAGAGATTACTTAAAAAAATAAATAAATAAAATGTTTCTAAAAAGAGGGCACGTTCTGCATGGAGCACTGGGTGTTATATGCAAACAATGAATCATGGAACACTACATCAAAAACTAATGATGTATGGGCATGAACATAACATAAAAAAAAAGAAACAGTAAAAAAAAAAAAAGTTTCTAAAAAAAAGTTCCAGTCCTTCAATTGCTAGCCACTCAAAACCTTTGTTAGTTAGGGTCACGCTAGCAGCTCTAATAAATACTCAAAATATGTAATACTCAAGCCTAAGAAAAGCTTATTTCTAAAAAAAAATAAAATCATGAGAAAAAATACATTTACAATAGTGTACTGTATTTCTCGAACAAAATCTACTTATATGTGGACCCATGAACGAATATTGTTCAAGGGTCAACTGTATCTGTCTATCTATCGATCGATCTATTCAGCTTTATTGAGATATTTCAGAAGCCATTCGCCCATTTAAAGTGTACAATTCAAGGGCGCCTGGGTGGCTCAGTTGGTTAAGCGACTGCCTTTGGCTCAGGTCATGATCCTGGAGTCCCGGGATCGAGTCCCACATCGGGCTCCCTGCTCAGCGGGGAGTCTGCTTCTCCCTCTGAACCTCTTCCCTCTCATGCTCTCTATCTCTCATTCTCTCTCTCTCAAATAAATAAATAAAATCTCTAAAAAAAACAATAAAAATAAAATAAAGTGTACAATTCAATGGTTCTAGTGTATTTGCAGGGGGTGTGCAACCATCACCACAATCAATTTTAGAACATTTCCACCACCCCATTATGTACATTTTTTCAAGATTTATTTATTTATTTATTTGACAGAGAGAGAGCGAGAGAGAGCACAAGCAGGGGGAGGGGCAGAGGGAGAGGATAAGCAGAGTCCCCACTGAGCAGAGACCCCCCCCCATGCTGGGCTCGATCCCAGGACTCAGGATTCATGACCTGAGCCATGAAGGCAGATGCTTAACCATCTGAGCCACCCAGGTGCCCCCCCCCATTATGTACATTATTGAATTCAGCCAATTAAATATTTAACTGAGTGCCTGCTGGGTGGTAGGCCCTGTTCTAGGCACTGGGGTGACAACAGCAAACAAAACAGACCCAAGCCCCTGCCCACGAGGAGCTGACATTCCTGCAGGGACAGATTAAAAATAAGTCACACTGAAAATAAATACATGAAAATAAAATTGCAAAAAGAAGTAAAAATAAGGAACATCTCTCTTCTGGCTGATGGTGCTAAGTGCTAGGAAGGAAAAGGAAGTAGGTACCTGGGTGGTGGGGGGTTGGGGGGAGTCAGGGAAGGACTTACAGAGGAGGTACCATCTGAACAAAGACCCAAAGGAAGTGGTCCTTTGTAGTAAGACAGATGGCGAAACTGAGGCTCAGAGAGACTGAATCGCTTGCCTGAGGTTCTCTTGCAAGCAAGTAGCGGGGCTGGGATTTGACTTGAGGCTTTCTATGCTCTGACTCCCATGCTGAGAGAAAAAACCCCGCTCCAGACCTGGATTATATGACCTGATGTTTTTTAAGCACCAGTTAGGGGCCAGGTGCAGGGCTAAGCCCCGAACAATCCTTCTGTGCTTTTTGATTTCACTTCTCTGGGACTCATTTATCTCACCTGTAAAATGGGGATAACGATAGCCACTTCTCAGGGACATTCTAAGAACTCAACGAGCTAATACTCTTAGCTAATAAGCCTGCACGTAAGGAGGCGCTCAATAACCGTGAAAGATTAATTCAACAAATATTTACTGAGTCCTTTTGGTGTCTCCGGCGCGGTGCTAGCCCGGGGACACGACAGGAAACCACCCAGTTGGAAATCCCTGTCCTCAGAGGGCTTGTGTTCTTGCTAGGGAGACAGTCACTTAAGCAGAGAAATGTAGAATAATCAGAACTGTGGAGAAAAATAAAGCAGTGATAATGGATAGATGGTGGGGGCAGCCTTAAATAAGGAGATCAGGGAGGGCTTCTCTGAGGAGGTGACATTTGAGCAGGCACGAATGAGGGGAGTGAGTGAGCTGTTCTGATCCCTGCGGGGAAAGTGGTTTAGGTGGCGGGAACAGCAAGTGCAAAGGCCCTGAGGTTGGAGGGCTATTGGTGTGCTTGAGGAACAGCAAAGAAGCCAGCGTGGCTGGAGCAGAGTGAGCCAGGGGGAGAGGAAGGGAGGTGAGGGCAAAGGGAACGGGCAGATCCGCGTAGGGCCTTGTGGGCCCCATTGAGGGCTTTGGCTTTTACTTTGAGTTCTCTAGAGAGGAGCCGGGATCGGTTGTGAGAAGAGGAATTTCATGAACTCAGGTAAGTTTTTAAATTATTATTATTGTTGTTGCTGCTGCTGTTGTTAGTAGCAGTATTAATATTAGCACTCCCCTGCTAAGAGGAGAGACAGAGATCGGGGAGTGGCCCAGTGTCAGAGGTGGAACGGATTTTGAACAACCGGGATTCGGATTCGAAGCCCGCTCTCACCCATCTCGAGAAGCCGCCCAGCCACTGCCCACCAGGGGGCACCAGAGGCCGGGCTCCCGGTTTGGGGGGGGGGCGCCTGGTCCCGCCCCCCCGCCCCTCCCTTCCCTCCTCCCCGCTCCGGGCCCCACCCGGCTCAGACGGCTCCGGACCGGACCTCGACCACAGGCCGCTCCGCGGGCGCCTCGGATCCCCGCGGGACCCCTGTCCAGCCCGCCGCCCGTGCAGCCGCCTGCGCGCCCCATCGGTGAGTGGTCCCCGACCGCCGCTGTCGCCTCCCAAACCCCGCCCGGCCCGCGGAGCCTAGGAGGGTGATTATTCCCCTGCCGCCCCAAGACTCTCAGTCCCCACCCCCCGCAACGTGTAGCGGTGTCCCCGGGTCCCCAGCACCCCGCTCCGCGAAACCTCCTTTTCTCCCCCACTCCCTCCAGCTCCTTCCAGCCTGTAACAGTGCCCTCCTGGTTTCTTCCCGTCGTGCTCAGTTTCCCCCACTCCCAACGGGCCTCCCCATCCTCTCAGCCAGAAGAGAGCCCCTCCTTGGGGTCTCCCTCTACTGCCCTCACCCATCTCTGTCCTATTTGGTCCCTCCTCCCACTCAAGAGCCCCTCTCCTACTTTACCAACCGCACGGCCTGTCCAGCTACCCCTAAAATGTCCCTCGGACCCCTCCCTGCCTAGGACACCGCCCAGGGCCCCCTCCCTCTGCCAAGATCCCAGTTCCCAGTTCCTGCCTCTCCTTTACCTCTCCGTCACTCTTTCCCCTCTACTCCCTTTCCTTTCTATTTATTCATTTTCCTTTAAGCGTCACTGTGATTTTATGGATTTTAACATTTTTGATTTGCAGTTAATTTTGATGCTCAAATTGTCCCATCTTTGGCCAGTGGGAGCTCCTTGAGGCTGGTCCTTGCGTCCCTGTGGCATGCCCCTTCCATCTTTGAGCACCTTCCCACTACCTGATCCAGGCTCGCTTGTTCTTCCCCTGCCCCAGCCCTAGAATCAGCCATTTCTCCAAGAAGTCCTGTTGTTGTTGTTGTTGTTGTTGTTGTTTTAATGGAAAATGGTGTTTGGAGACTCCAATCTGACCAAAAGTTGGTTCTGTGAAAAGATCAGTAAAATTGTAAGCATCTACTTAGACTGATCAAGGAAGAAAAAGAAAGAAAGACAAATGACTGATATCGGGAATGAAAGAGGGGACATCACTACAGGTCCTACAGAGAATGAAAAGATAGTAAGGGAATATAGAGAACACAGTCTGGGTGCCGGGGGTGCTTGCCGCTGCTGGATTGGTAATTCTCTCTTCCTAACTCAGATAAGAACACAGGTTCCGAGGTCAGGTTGCCTGGTGTCCCAGACTGAGCGCTTTCCAACCAAGTGATCTTGGGCAAGTTATTGCTATCTTCATGAGCCCCCTTTGTGAGTCAGAAACATGGGGATAGTAACGGCCCTACCTTACCATGTTGTTAGGAAGATTAAATGAGTTAGAGCAGCGTCCGGCATGCAGTGATCAGAAATGTTAATATTTTTGTGATCATCTGAGGACCCTCATGACCTGGGTGCACCCAGGCGACTCCTCAGCTTAATTTCTCACCCTTCCTGTGTCCAGCAACCCCCTTCATGCATTTCACAGCTCGGGGCCTTGGCACACACCACCCTCTCTGCCTCTCTTGCACGGTATCCCTGTTGTGCATGGAAGGGAGCAGTTCAAAAGTCGGCTCAGCCAGTTTGCTGATCCCGTGGTCGGTGCACTATGTCCCCATCTGGTGCCCACAAGTCCACTGCCTGGCATTTCCCAGGCATCACTGGCTGCTTGGTGCCAGGTCTCCTCCTCAATGGGGGCTTTGAATAGGAAGGGGCCTATCTCAGGCCTCTTTCTGGATCCATAATCCTGACACATGAGGTGATTTCAGTGAAAATATGTGAAAGGATGGGTGGGGGGAGGACGGAAGGAACAAACGGATGAAGGAATCCATTTCTTCTATGCAGCTTCTGCATCCTTCCCTTTTCCCATCATCCCTTGGCCTCCCACCATCAGTCCTGCTTCTTCAGTCATCCCACCGTTAATGTCTTTCTCTTCCACCAGCTGGAATAATCACCTTCCTCCTCCATGAACCATCACCTCCTGCCCTGCCGTGCTCTCTGCCGCTCCCCCTCTCCCCATTGCCCCACGCCTCCACCGCCCATTCCACCTTCTGGCTCCCTTTCTTCTCCTCCTCCTCCTCCTATGCCAGGCAGGCCCCCATCAACGCCCTGTCCCCCCCTTGCAGGCAGCTCTCCCCTGCCCCTCTCCCTCGGCGAGACCAGTGGCAGCGTGCAGCCACCATGTTCAGCTGGCTGAAGCGGGGCGGCGCGCGGGGCCAGCAGCCTGAGGCCATCCGCACTGTGACCTCATCCCTCAAGGAGCTCTACCGCACCAAGCTGCTGCCTCTCGAGGAGCACTACCGATTCGGCGCCTTCCACTCGCCGGCCCTGGAGGATGCCGATTTCGACGGCAAGCCCATGGTCCTGGTGGCTGGCCAGTACAGCACGGGCAAGACCAGCTTCATCCAGTACCTGCTGGAGCAGGAGGTGCCAGGCTCCCGCGTGGGGCCCGAGCCCACCACCGACTGCTTCGTGGCTGTCATGCACGGGGACACCGAGGGCACTGTGCCGGGCAACGCCCTTGTGGTTGACCCTGACAAGCCCTTCCGCAAGCTCAACCCTTTCGGGAACACCTTCCTCAACAGGTGTTGCAGCTTGGGAGGCAGGGGTGCATCTCCCCATCCCTGGCCCCCACCCTCGCCTTTGTTTCTTTCTTTCCCGCTCCAATTCCCTCCTCTCTTCCTGCTCCTCCCCCTTCCTGCCTCCTCAAGGGGAGCAGGGAAGCCAGTGCAGGGCCAGCCTGCCTGGGTCCACCTCCGCTCTACCTGGGCGGCCTTGGGCAAGTGACTTAACCCCTCTGTGCCTCTCTTGTCTGCATCTGGAAAATGGGGATAACCATAGTCCCCACTCGCATATAAAGTGCTTAGCACAGCATGTGGCACAAAGTATGTGCTCAGTAAACATCAGCTCTCAGGTGTTTTTTAATAGCTCTTATTCTCTGTCCTGATCTTTCGAGATTCTTTCCTGCTCTGTACCTGAGTCACCCTCTGTGCGGTCCCAGTTTTCCCTTCTTATGGGTCCTCTCCTCCTGCCTCTCCCTGTGTTGACCCCTGACTTTCCTTCTGCCTCAGGTTCATGTGTGCCCAGCTCCCCAATCAGGTCCTGGAGAGCATCAGTATCATTGACACTCCGGGCATCCTATCAGGCGCCAAGCAGAGAGTGAGCCGGGGTGAGTGGGGCCCGAGTCCTGGGTCTGAGGGAGGAGGCAGCTGGGTCTCTGCTAAGACTCGGGCCTGGGTCAGCTGGCCCTGAGCTGGCTGGTGGCAGAAGGGAGCCAGTTGGAAGGCTGTGGTTCCTCCATGTCTGTGCACGTAGAAGGGACAGGGGAGGCGTGTGCCTGAACACGTGTGAGCAGGCTGCCGCTCCGTGTCTGGGCTGGTCTGGAGGATGGGGAGGGAGAGATCAAGAGAGAGAGAGGGAGACCCGCGAAGTCAGAGACAGATCCCGAGTGCGGGCAGCCTTACAGAGACACAGGAGACCCAGAGAGGAGGGAGGCCCTGGGCCCTGGGCACGCTCCTGGCTCCACCTCTGGGCCGCAGATGGGGCTGAGCAGGGGTTGGGAGGGGGAATCTGGGCGTGGGCCAAGGCCGGGCCTGGAATTTATAAACAGCTGTGCAGGGGGAGCGGCGGGGGGTGGATTCCAGCGGGGCCTCCGGGGGAGCCGGCCCCCACCTCTGCCCAGCCCGTTCTGCATCTGCCCCCCCCCCCCACAGTCACCCCGCAGTGTCTGTCCCGCGCCAGCTCGGCGGCCTCCGAGGCCCGGAACTGGGGCAAAGGAGGCCGCATTGTGGGGCAGAGGGGACGGGACGCTGGGCCGCCGGGCAGGGCGGGAGCGCGGAGGGTGACGGTGTCCCTGGCTGCTACCCAGCGGGCGCGCGTCCCCCTGGGAGACAGGCAGGGGGCAGCTGCAGAAGCGATCGGAGGGCGAGCGGCCAGCCAGAGGGCGGGGGGCGGGCCGGGAGTTCCTGGGGCGCCGCCCCTGGGGCTGGGCCTGGGAGAGTGGGCGGGGAGAACGGGCGGGGAGAGCGGGAGGGGTGCTCGGTGGGGGCCCAAGGTTGTGGGGAGGAGGAGAGAGTAGAGAACGGGGTCTCCCTCCCTGGCAGCTTGGGTAGAGGAAGAGGAGGCGAGTCCGTCGGTCTGTCTGTGGGTGTGTGTGTATGTGTGTGTGTGTGCAGGGGTGTGTCTGGGAGTCCACGGAGCCCGCGGCTATGATTGTGTCCGGATGTGTGTGCACGTGTGTGTGCATTGGTGGGATGGGTGGCTGGCTGCCCTTGCGTATCAAATCTGTGCCCACACTTTTGTGTGATTGTAGCATATGGGAGCCTCTGGTGGGGTTCAAATCTGGGCTCTGCTGTTGTTAAACCATGGGCTTTGGGGGAGCCACTCATCTCTCCCTGTCTCGGTCTGCTCACCTGTAAGAGGGGAATAATGATAGCATCAGCCTCGTAGGTTGCACGGAGGGTTCACATTAAATGTCAAACCTGCAAAGCACTTCGGGGTGCAACACACAGTAGGCGCTGTGGATGTGCAGACAACTCTGTTCCCGGTGAGTGTCGTAGCTGTGGGCCCCGGGTACTCTCTGCCACGTCTCCACGTCTCTTGTTCCCACCCTGACTCAACCTCACTGCCTTCCTCCCGCCCCACATGAGACACACTTTCCAAATCCTGGCCCGTGTGTGTGTGTGTGTGTGTGTGTGTGCATTTAGACACTGGGGAGGGAAGGAGCCCCCGCTGCCATCCTTCCTCCCCCCGAGCAATGCCCCCCCATCCAGTCCCCAGGGACCACAAGGAGCCTGCTCCCTCCTTGGCAGGATGCGCCCAGCACCCGCTCTTCAGTGGAGCATAGAGACCCATGCAGGCTCCTGCTCCGCACCTCCCACCCGCGTGTCTTGAGTCAGTCCCTCAACCTGTCCGTGCCTCAGTTTCCTCATCTGGAAAATGAGGATCACAAAAGCGCCTGTCTCCCGAGGGTGTTTTGAAGATTCAACTAGATGATTCAGGGAGAGCAAGCAGTGATGGCAGGTGAGTCAGCGGTGGCTCCCTGTTCTGCCAGGTAACGCCTTGTCCCCCAGGTCACCACCGTGTCCCCTGTTCTGAGAAGCCCTCCTTGACCCCACCCCCCAGGCTGGGTCAGGTGCTCCCGCTGGGCTCGTAAAGCTCTCTGGGCTCCCCCACCCTGGCCTGACCACTCTGGGGATGGGTTTGTGTCCTCAGCGGACTGTGATCCGGATGAGAACAGGACAGGGACGGCTCTGGGGACAGTTCCCGAAGGAGGTCCCCACTGTGTCCCGCGTGTATAACAACTGATAACTGTCGAGCACTTACCGTGTTCCCAGATTGTGTTTGCTGGGTTTAACGGTTTATTTTTATTTACAATTTCATTTATTTATTTTTTTAGAGCGAGAGAGCAGGGGGAGGGGCAGACAGGGAGGGAGTGAGAATCTCAAGGAGACTCCACCCTGAGCTCAGAGCCCGATGCAGGGCTCGATCCCACGACCCTGAGATCATGACCCGGGCGCTTAACCCACTGAGCCACCCAGGCCGCCCCTGTTTTAACTGTTTAATTGAGGTACAATTGACATGCCTAAAGCTCACCCATTTTATTTATTTATTTATTTTAAAGATTTTATTTATTTATGTATTTGAGAGAGAGAATGAGAGAGAGAGAGAGAGCACATGAGAGGGGGGAGGGTCAGAGGGAGAAGCAGACTCCCTGCCGAGCAGGGAGCCCGATGCGGGACTC